TGGGGTAGTACGGCACCAAGGAGGTCCGAGCAGGGTCAGGCATGGCGGAGCAGCAAGCAGCACCATAGCTGCTTTGGGGTTGGCCGTGGCACATCAGGGCTAGGCCCAAGTAGTCCGCCATAGCCTAGGCTTAGAGAGATGAGAGGAGGAGGAGCCATGGCTATGGTGGACCGATGTATGAGTCAGCAGTGAGGGGGAACTTCGGACATTGATTCTGGATCATTCATTCATTGTTATTATTATTATTATTGCAAGAGGAATAAGATTGGGGGAAGTTGGAAGGAGGAGGAAGGTGGAGAGAGAAGGGGGAGTTGTCATTTGTCTTGCTGGTGTACTTCTTCTTCTTCTTCTTCTTCTTCTTCTTTTTTTCTCCTCTGGTCCATATCTCTTTGCAAGTGCTTTCATTTCTTTCGCAATTTGGTGGCATTGTCTTTCATTGTGAATTGCACTTGGGAAATGACCAGGATCGTAACATCCCCCTCCTTCACCCATCTACACATACGGCATGTAGCAGTATCCGGACGCTACCAGATGTCCGATACGAAGACTTGCTCCCCCTCCTTCACCCATCTACTCACGAACATGGATGGGCTCACAGCTGATCACACACACAAACTCAAATGAGAACCGATCCGTTTTAGAAGTGCAAACGGACACGAATTCAACGCCTACCAACCCAGATGAACATTGTTCACCCTTGGAGCCCCAAACCGACTCTCACAATCCATCCCCAGCAGATCAACTACAGGCAGAACGAAGGAGGCAGGCCAGCAGACGCTATTACATGAAGAAACGTGCTCAGCGTGACGAGGAAGCCAGAGCGATTGTTGACCGATTCACATACCGTCCTTGTCAGCCCTGTGGCTTTCCAAAATGTGGCTTACCCGCCCGACCAACTCAATGTACAAACACCGATACAGCCCCCTCTTCCGCTGTATTTTCAATGTATAGCAGAACCACAAACCCAGTTCCAATCGTGTACATATGGTGCACAAACCCCTCTTCAGCAAAACTGCCTTTCAGCACCTGTCCCGCGACCCGTTTCACAATCAAATGCGAGCTGTGCAGGAACTCCTTTGCGACTTTCCATTTCTGTGCCACGGCCACAAATCCCGTCCAAATGGTAACAGGGGGCTTCCAACAACTGTAATAGGTAAGTTTGAACCCCTCCTTTCCAACAATGCCATTCTCCATCTGTGCAGGAATCCAACAACTGTAACAGGTAAGTTCAAATCCCGATGGCAACCAACCCAGCAAACAAGAACTGCAAAGAATCTCTACGGTGATACCCCCAAAAAAACGAAAAAAAAAAAAAAAACTATCCCAAAGATCAAGCAGCATTGCATCGACTGCATCAACAACAGAGCACAGGTGAGCCTCAAATCCACATCAACCCCAAGCCCTAAAAAACGTTCCCCCCACATCTTCCCATTTTTACCCCTTTTGATTTGCGAGCGAAGCCGCAACAGGTACCCTTGTAGAGGTTAAGATGCCACAGCCTCTGCCAGGAGGGAGACAAGCGAAAGACAAGGCTGCAACCTTCAGACATTTTTCAGGGGGCTTCCAAACCTTGACTCCATGAAAGTTTTATTGAGTGTCTTTCATGAACATTTTGGAAGACACTAAGGGACGGTAGTTATTGAAGCTTGATGAAGATGATGGATTCATTGAGCAAGAGGCGCTTATCTATCTTCCGTATGCATTGCAACTGGAGTGCAGGTTCAGGTCAACTGAGGGATTCAAAGGTCACAATGGGCATGGATGAGATTATGAAAAGAGGGTTGTCCTGACCATGTTGATATGCATTTGCCAGCTGAATGGAATGTCTCATATCATGCCTTGACTGAGGGACTGCACAGCTACTGCGAGATTCTTAGGCCCGCATGGAACCCCCCTTCTTCTTAGGGGCAGACAGACAGAGAGAGCGAGAGAGGGAGAGATTGTGTGTGTGTGTGTGTGTGTGTTTGTGTGTGTGTGTGTGTGTGTGTGTGTGTGTGTGTGTGAGAGAGAGAGAGAGAGAGAGAGAGAGAGAGAGA